GCTCGTGATCACCAGTAGGCCAAGAATGCCATTCGCTTGACTGATGCCAGGGTCTAATACATGCATATCATCCTGGATAGCTCTGGGAAGCCTTCGGGTCTCACCCAGAAAATGGCATTTCATTATATTCAATGCTGGTTTTTTGGTTTTACTTTTGAACAGGAGATGGGTTGAACATTGTTTTAATTCATCAGGGAGTGAGTTCCAAAGACTGGGCCCTTTTATTTGCATGGAGTGTTTGCACAGATTTAGTCCGACTCCGGGGGATATCAAAGAGATGTTTATTTCTGGTGTGGTGCTCATGGGTTCTATTACACCTATTAAGGAAAAGTTTCAGATCAAGATTAGCATTTAGGAACAAGGTTTTGTACATATAAATAGCACATGAGAATGTGTGGAGTGAGTGTATATTTATTTATTTATTTGTTCATTTATTTATTTATTTACTTATTTATATATTTATATACAAGTAGGTACATTGGGGGTTAACAGAGAACATAGAAATGATGTTAAATTTATATTCTAGTATAGCCACTAGCATACATAGCATTTCGGGCAAAAACTGATTTTATCATATTTAGCATGTTAACCCTCAAACCGCTAGGGGCCCAAATGGATTCAACACCCACAGGCGCAACAAAAAAAAAAATCCAAAAAATTCTTTCGTCTTATACAAGTGTTCATTTTTGTTCCCTGATCACAGAAAAAATAACAAAACAATCGTAGGTCGCATATTTTAGCCGCAATAGGGTAGGGAAGTCTGGAAAAAACCATTATTGAATGTAATGAAATGCCATTTTCTGGATGAGCCCCGGAGGCTCCCTGGAGATTATCGGGCTAATGTATGTTATATTGGACCGGGACATTAGCTAAGGAGTTCAGACCTACCAGGGACCAGCGCCAGAACCTGGCCCCTTCAGAGAGGTTTCAGGGAGCAATGGCACTGGAAAGCCCTCTTGTGGTTGGGGTTTTCCTTATCTGCCATCGACGGGGGTCAGGCACCCAGAAAGGTAGGCATGACAAAACAAATCCCACATGGTAAAAAACTAAAACAGAAAACCAAACAGAGAGGTAGAAACTCGCTACAATCCCAAGGAAACATGCAAACATCACACTTTACTACCGTGCCAATTGTCCACGCAGCTCTCCCCACCCCAAGAGGGGGAGGGGGAGCCCTGGACCTTACCGCGCCTGCTGCCTAGCATCAGTTCGTAAGCTAATGTCAACCGGGACAGACTCTTCTCTGCCCTCACTTTCCTAGGCGATGTTTGCCTTTCGTGGCGTTCACTGCCATGTGTTGTGCAGTGCGGTGGCCAGGTGTTCCTCATCAGTACCGGGGCTGCATCTGCTTAAGGGCTTCCTTCCCTAAGCGCCTTGCGAGTTCTGCCCCTGCGTGACAGGGTTATCTTCCCAGGGGCGTTCGGGAATCTTTCCTGTAGAAGTTCTTGCTGCTTGGCATTTGCCTCACCTTTGGGTCTAGCTGGGGCTTTGGGCCCTTGTTTGGCCTTGGGTAGGGACTGGTATTGTGCTAGTTAGGGCGTCAAGGTGTTGCACGACCTGCCACCTACGCGGCGACCGGTTCCTGTTGCCTCTGGGGACGGTGTACTTTTGCAGGGTTTTTCTTTTGTTTTTTTTATTTTCATTTGCCTGTGGGGGTCTGCCTAGTGTGGCTATAGTTCCACTGGTAGTGTTTGGTGGCCCTCTGCTAGGCTCCTGTGATTGTACACGTCGCAGGGATTTTCAGTGTTGTCCTCTACCCCTTTGTTAGTACAATATTAGGTTTTAACAGGTTAGCAACACCTTGCCCAGGCTTCCCGTAGTTATTACCTTATGGGCCCTGGAAAACCCTGTCGGGGTTCGGTGGACCATTGAATGTGTATTAGGTATTTGTTTCTGGTGTGGTGCCCATGGGTTCTTGGGTTCCCTTCTTGGAAGCTTTTACGGTTAGGATTGACATTACAGTTCAGAGTTTTAAATATATAGAGTACACATGAGAGGATGTGCAGTTACTTAATATCTAACATATTCAAAGATATTAATAAGGGTACAGAGTGCTGTCTGGGGCCAGAGATAGATGTTGTTCTAATAGCAGCTTTTGTTGAGAAATTAGAGGATGTAAATGATTTAGTTTTTATCTTAAACTGGTTGAGAGAGGTACAGTCTTTAACATGATTGGGAAGGTCATTCCACATTCTGGGTCCCTTGATTTGTAGAGCATTTCTAGTTTGATTAAGTCTTGGAATATCAAAACGTTATTTGTTTCTGGTGTGGTGGTCATGGGTTCTGTTACAACCTTCAATGAAGCTTTTGAGGTCAGGATTGGCATTACAGTTCAGCATTATATATATATATATATATATATATATATATATATATATATATATATATATATATATATATATATATATATATATATATATATATATATATATATATATATATATATATATATATATATATATATATATATATATATATATATATATATATATATATGTCGTACCTAGTAGCCAGAACGCACTTCTCAGCCTACTATGCAAGGCCGAATTTGCCTAATAAGCCAAGTTTTCATGAATTAATTGTTTTTCGTCTACCTAACCTACCTAACCTAACCTAACCTACCTTTTTCGGCTACCTAACCGAACCTAACCTATAAAGATAGGTTAGTTTAGGTTAGGTAGGGTTGGTTACGTTTGGTCATATATCTGCGTTAATTTTAACTCCAATAAAAAAAAATTGACCTCATACATAATGAAATGGGTAGCTTTATTATTTCATAAGAAAAAAATTAGAGAAAATATATTAATTCAGGAAAACTTGGCTTATTAGGCAAATTCGGCCTTGCATAGTAGGCTGAGAAGTGCGTTCTGGCTACTAGGTACGACATATATATATATATATATATATATATATATATATATATGTAATATATATAATATATATAATATATAATACACATGAGAGGATGTGCAGTGACTTAATATTTAACATATTCAGAGATTTGAGTAGGGGTACCGAGTGATGTCTGGGGGCCAGAGTTGGATATTGTCCTAATAGCAGCTTTGTGTTGAGGAATTAGAGGACGTAAATGATTTTGGGTAGTAGAACCCCAAGCACAAATACCATAGTTGAGATAAGGATAGATGAGATGGTAATAGAGCGTCACCAGCGCAGGGCGAGGTACATAATATCTGATCTTAGAAAGAATGCTGACAGTTTTAGAAACTTTTTTTTTGCTATACCTGTATTTAGAATGTGTCCCTGGAAATTCAGCTTGTTATCGATGAGAACACCTAAGAATTTACCATATACTTTGTTACTGATCTGGATATTGTTTATTCTTAGATTAATTTGATTTGAGAATTTATTACCAAATAAAATATAGAAAGTTTTGTCAATATTAAGAGTGAGTTTATTAGCAGTTAGCCACAGATGGACTTTATTAAGTTTAGCATTCACTGTGACATTTAGGGCAAGAGGGTCAGGACTGGAGAAGATGAAGGTTGTTTCATCAGCAAATAAGATGTTTGGTTTGAGGTGTTGTTTGAGGTTTGAGGTGTTGAGAGGCATTTGGAAGGTCATTAATGTAGATGAGAAAAAGGAGAGGGCCAAGTATGCTGCCCTTTGGAATACCAATATTGATGGGTAGGGTGGGAGAAATAGAATTATTCACAGAAACATACTGGAGCCCTGTCGAAGGTATTGGAGGGAGTGACCTCTGACTCCGTAATGATGTAATTTAAGAAGAAAGTTTTGGTGGTTGACAGTGTCAAAAGCCTTACATAGGTCAACAAATAAACCAACAGGGAACTCATTTTTATCAAGAGCTGCATGTATCAAGATAATCATACTAATAAGTGCATCATTAGGGCTTTTTTTTGGGGTCTGAAGCCATATTGGCAAGAGCTAAGTATATTGTGTTATAGAGGTGTCTAGAGATGAAGTGGAAAATATGCTAAAGGAGCTAAGTAAGAATAAAGCAGTTGGCCCAGATGGAGTTTCACCATGGGTTCTGAGAGAATGTGCATCTGAGCTCAGCATTCCACTTCACCTGATCTTTCAGGCATCCCTGTGTACAGGAGTCGTAGCAGACGTGTGGAAACAGGCTAACATAGTTCCAATCTACAAAAGTGGCAGTAGGGAAGACCCCCTTAATTATAGACCTGTATCATTAAAGAGTAAAGCTGCTTGTAGATTAGTTTTTTAAATATTTTTGACAAGTTTGGCAGAATTGATATAGGTCTGAAATTGTTGACTTCAGTGAGATGACCACATTTATGGACTGAGGTTACTCTCACTTTTTTTAGAATATCTGGAAAGGTTTGGAATTCAAGTGACTTGTTGTAGAGCAATGCAATAGCAGGAGCTAAAAATCTGGAGGCTTTTTTGTAAATTAGAGTTGGTAATAATTAAATTAGAGTTGGCATATTGAGGTGCCAAATTTATCGAGAAGAGTAAGGAGGGTTATGTGTAATCTCGTATCGTTATTGAGTATATAATTAATTGAGATAATTAATTTTATTGGATTATGAACTCTGAAACTGGTAGATTTTATATTAAATTAGCCAGAAACGTTTGAGAATAACTTGTAGTCGACCCAGGATACGTTACCCCATTTTCTGTAATCCTTTTATGACTAACTAATGTACTTATTAGCTATTTTAAATAATGTAAATTAACAGCGTTTTATGGTTGTTACATTGGAGTTTTATATTTGATGTGGGAATTTCCCACACTGGTAGGCCAATATAACTCCACGACTGCTGGCAACTAGTAGTATTGCACTAAATCAATGATAACCCCTTGAGGCTCCCTTCAGTGAGCCTCAAAGTGCTTCCCTCAGAAATAGGCATATATTAGTCACAATTGTATGGTTGAGAAGTAATGGGTTCCTGGGTAGAGGTGATGGCCATATGTGTGGTAACTGTAGCATGCCAGAATATTCAACACACAAGGCACCCTAAACCAGCAAGTCTTAAGATGGTCCTCACTTTCCCCAGGCAAATCCATCACCAAGAAGAACAGCACAAACAACAATGCCCTCAACTTGAGCATGGGTCAAAGCATGTGGGGGAACACCCTCAATCTCAGCTCCTCCTTCAACAACTCCCAAGGATCAGGCTCCTACAATTCATCCTGGGGCTCAAACTATTCCTCCGCCTCCTCAAGTGGAGGAGGAGGAGGAGGAGGAGGAGGCGGAGGAGGGGAAGCAGGAGTGATAAGTAATGGTTGGTTAGGTAGGTGGAACAGCACCATGTCCTTTGGGCCTCCTGCACCTCCCTTACCAGCTCTCAAGCACTGTCTGCACGATCCAACACTGTCTTCACGATCCAAACCTCTCTGCATGATCCATCAGTTTCTGCACAATCAATGGACCGAAACTCTCTTCGTGATCCATCACTTTCTAAACAAACCAATGCTGCTACTGTGGCTTGGTACTGAGGTTATTATTTTAGCATATCAAATGCATTTGTAAGAATGTAACTGATGAAAATGCATGACTAAATGCAGGTTTTATTTGTGAAAATTTGTTTAGATATGTACTATTATAGTTGTCATGCTACATGCTATTTTTATATGAGTTTTTGCTTCTTTAGATATAGAGCTTTTAGCTACCACGTTGCAATAAATTCCTTCCAAGACAGACAGACAGAGACACAGACATAGACAGATAGACAGACACAGACACACAGACACACACACAGTTGCAAGATATAATCCAGCTTAGGGTCCCAGATATTGTCGCATTATCAGAGACGAAACTTGAAGGAAATATAATAAATGAAGTTATATTCCCAAGAGGCTATTCAGTTTGGAGACGTGACAGGAAAACTAGGAAGGGAGGAGGAGTGGCTGTACTGGTGAAAGAACACCTGAAGGTAAGAGAGTTAATATTTGAAAACCCTCGAGATATTGACATAATGGCATTGCAGGTCTGGAATCAGGATGATAAGCTCATAGTTTTAAATGCCTACAGCCCACCAGCAAGCAACACATGGACAAAGGAAGAACTAGATGACAAACGAGAGGGCCTCATAATGGTCATGAGAGATATTATTGCACAAGCAGATAAAGATAAATCACGACTGTTGATACTGGGTGACTTCAACTTTAAAGCAATAGACTGGGAGGCCTATGAAGCAAGAACGGAGGACTTTTGGACATGCAGATTTGTGAACCTCATTCTGGAGACATTCTTGTATCAACAAATAAAGCAGGCCACAAGAATGAGGGAAGGAGATGTACCATCAGTACTGGATCTAGTATTCACCAGGAAAGAAGAAGAAATATTTGACATCCAGTACCTTCCTCCCTTGGGAAAGAGTGATCACGTCCTGTTAGACATTGATTATGCTTTAAGATATCATCTAGAAGAAAATGGGGACATTGAAACAGTTGATAAACTCGATTTAAGGAGAGGACACTATGGGGAACTTCAAAATTTTTTTAATGAGTGTAATTGGACAGAATTGTTGCTAGGCAGGGAAGTAAATGAAATGTATGCCAAATTTTTAAAAATATACGAGGAAGGCACACAAACATTCATACCAAAACAGAGGTGCAGGGCCAGAAAACAGGATTGGTTCGACAGAAATTGTGAGAGGGCAAGAGACCAAAAGACACAAAAATGGAATCAGTATAGGAAGAGACCAAACCCTCAAACATACCAGCGATACAAAGATGCGAGAAACAACTATACGGCAGTAAGGAGAGAGGCAGAAAGAAATTTTGAAAAGGGGATAGCAGATAAATGTAAAACAGAACCGGGCCTATTCTACAAATTCATAAACAACAAATTGCAGGTAAAGGATAATATCCAGAGGTTGAAAATGGGAAACAGATTCACGGAAAATGAAAAGGAAATGTGTGAAACATTAAATGAAAAGTTCCAAAGTGTGTTTGTACAAAATGAAATCTTCAGAGAACCAGACACAATGGGAATTCCAGAGCACAACATAGAGCGGATAGAGGTGTCTAGAGATGAAGTGGAAAATATGCTCAAGGAGCTCAGTAAGAACAAAGCAGCTGGCCCAGATGGAGTTTCACCATGGGTTCTGAGAGAATGTGCATCTGAGCTCAGCATTCCAATTCACCTGATCTTTCAGGCATCCCTGTCTACAGGAATCGTAGCAGACGTGTGGAAACAGGCTAACATAGTTCCAATCTACAAAAATGGCAGCAGGGAAGACCCCCTCAGTTATAGACCTGTATCATTGACAAGTGTAATAGTGAAAGTATTGGAAAAACTAATCAAAACTAAATGGGTAGAACACCTGGAGAGAAATGATATAATATCAGACAGACAGTATGGTTTTCGATCTGGAAGATCCTGTGTATCGAATTTACTCAGTTTCTATGATCGAGCCACAGAGATATTACAGGAAAGAGATGGTTGGGTTGACTGCATCTATCTGGACCTAAAAAAGGCTTTCGACAGAGTTCCACATAAGAGGTTGTTCTGGAAACTGAAAAATATTAGAGGGGTGACAGGTAAGCTTCTAACATGGATGATAAATTTTCTGACTGATAGAAAAATGAGTGCAGTAATCAGAGGCAATGTATCGGAATGGAGAAATGTCACAAGTGGAGTACCACAGGGTTCAGTTCTTGCACCAGTGATGTTTATTGTCTACATAAATGATCTACCAGTTGGTATACAGAATTATATGAACATGTTTGCTGATGATGCTAAGATAATAGGAAGGATAAGAAATTTAGATGACTGTCATGCCCTTCAAGAAGACCTGGACAAAATAAGTATATGGAGCACCACTTGGCAAATGGAATTTAATGTTAATAAATGTCATGTTATATAATGTGGAATAGGAGAACATAGACCCCACACAACCTATATATTATGTGAGAAATCTTTAAAGAATTCTGATAAAGAAAGAGATCTAGGAGTGGTTCTAGATAGAAAACTATCACTTGAGGACCACATAAAGAATATTGTGCAAGGAGCCTATGCAATGCTTTCTAACTTCAGAATTGCATTTAAATACATGGATGGCGATATACTAAAGAAATTGTTCATGACTTTTGTTAGGCCAAAGCTAGAATATGCAGCTGTTGTGTGGTGCCCATATCTTAAGAAGCACATCAACAAACTGGAAAAGGTGCAAAGACATGCTACTAAGTGGCTCCCAGAACTGAAGGGCAAGAGCTACGAGGAGAGGTTAGAAGCATTAAATATGCCAAAACTAGAAGACAGAAGAAAAAGAGGTGATATGATCACTACGTACAAAATAGTAACAGGAATTGATAAAATCGACAGGGAAGACTTCCTGAGACCTGGAACTTCAAGAACAAGAGGTCATAGATTTAAACTAGCTAAACACAGATGCCGAAGAAATATAAGAAAATTCACCTTCGCAAATAGAGTGGTAGACGGTTGGAACAAGTTAAGTGAGAAGGTGGTGGAGGCCAAGACCGTCAGTAGTTTCAAAGCGTTATATGACAAAGAGTGCTGGGAAGACGGGACACCACGAGCATAGCTCTCATCCTGTAACTACACTTAGGTAATTACACTTAGGTAATTACACACACACACACACACACAGACACACACCCACCCACCCACTCTCTACCCCCCCCCCCCTCTCCTCTCAAAAGAGGACAGAGAAAAGCTGAAAATGAACCTCACTGAAGTGAAACGTCTAAATGGGGATAGAAATGAAGAAATGAATTCTTTTTTCTACAAAGTGTCAGGGACTGGAACGCTTGTGAAATGGTACATAAAGTCAAAGCAACAAAATCATTAAAGGAAGGGGGTGTAAAGAATAAAGGAAAGGGGAACATATTCTTGAAAATAGTGTATACCAATATAGATGGAGTGAGATCGAAAATATTGGAGTTGAAGGATATAATTCAACTCAAAGTCCCAGATATTGTCGCATTAACAGAGACTAAACTTGAAGAAAATATTTTAAATGAGGTCGTGTTCCCAAGGGGCTACTCAGTTTGGAGACGTGACAGGAAAACTAGGAAGGGGGGAGGAGTGGCTGTGCTGGTGAAAGAACACCTGAAGGTGTTCCTTCAGGTGAAGTAATGTTTGAAAACCCTAGAGATATTGACATAATGGCATTGCAGCTCTGTAATCAAGATGATAAGCTGATAATTTTAAATGCCTGCAGCCCACCAGCAAGCAACACATGGACAAAGGAAGAACTGGATGACAAACGTGAGGGTCTCATAATGGTCATGAGAGAGATTATGGTAAGAGCTAACAAAGATAAATCCCGATTGTTGGTACTGAAGGGACTTTAACTTTAAGGCAACAGACTGGGAGGCCTACGAGGCAAGAACAGAGGACATTTGGACAGGCAGATTTGTAAACCTCATCTTGGAGACATTCATGTATCAACACGTCAAGCAGGCCACAAGAATGAGGGAAGAGGATGTTCCGTCAGTACTGGATCTAGTATACACCAGGAAAGAAAAGGAGGTATTTGACATCCAGTAACTTCCTCCCTTGGAAAAGAGTGATCACGTCCTCTTGGACATTAAATATGCTATGCGATATAATCTAGTAGAGAATGGGGACAGTGAAACAGTTGTTAAACTCGATTTCAAGAGAGGACGCTATGGGGAACTTAGAAATTTTTTTCTTGGGTATAATTGGACAGACTTGTTGCCAGGCAAGGAAATAAATGAGATGTATGCCAAATTTTGCACAATATATGATGAAGGCACACAAACATTCATACCAAAACAGACATGCAGACCTGGGGAAACAGGGTTGGTTCAACAGAAATTGCGAGAGGGTCAGAGATCAAAAGACAAAAGCATGGAATCATTATAGAAAGAGGCCAAACCCCCAAACATACCAGGGATACAAAGATGCAATAAACAACTACACGTCAGTAAGGAGAGAGGCAGAGAGGAACTTTGAGAACGGTATAGCAGACAAATGTAAATCAGATCCAGGCCTTTTCTATAAATTCATTAAAAGTAAGCTGCAGGTAAAGGATAACATTCAGGGGTTAAAAATGGGGGAAAGATACACGGAAAATGAAAAGGAAATGTGTGAAACATTAAACGAAAAGTTACAAAGTGTGTTTGTACAAAATGAGATCTTCGGAGAACCAGACACAATAAGAATTCCGCAGAATAACATAGAGCATATAGAGGTGTCTAGAGATGAAGTGGAAAATATGCTAAAGGAGCTAAGTAAGAATAAAGCAGTTGGCGCAGATGAAGTCTCACCATGGGTTCTGAGAGAATGTGCATCTGAGCTCAGCATTCCACTTCACCTGATCTTTCAGGCATCCCTGTGTACAGGAGTCGTAGCAGACGTGTGGAAACAGGCTAACATAGTTCCAATCTACAAAAGTGGCAGCAGGGAAGACCCCCTTAATTATAGACCTGTATCATTAAAGAGTAAAGCTGCTTGTAGATTAGTTTTTTAAATATTTTTGACAAGTTTGGCAGAATTGATATAGGTCTGAAATTGTTGACATCAGTGAGATCAGGCATCCCTGTGTACAGGAGTCGTAGCAGACGTAGCAGTCGTAGCATCAGTGAGATCAGGCATCCCTGTGTACAGGAGTCGTAGCAGACGTGTGGAAACAGGCTAACATAGTTCCAATCCACAAAAGTGGCAGCAGAGAAGACCCCCTCAATTATAGACCTGTATCATTGACTAGTGTAATAGTGAAAGTATTGGAAAAAGTAATCAAAATTAAATGGGTAGAACACCTGGAGAGAAATGATATAATATCAGACAGACAGTATGGTTTTCGATCTGGAAGATCCTGTGCTGTGTATCGAATTTACTCAGTTTCTATGATCATGCCACAGAGATTTTACAGGAAGGAGATGGTTGGGTTGATTGCATCTATCTGGACCTAAAAAAGGCTTTCGAAAGAGTTCCACATAAGAGGTTGTTCTGGAAACTTGAAAATATTGGAAGGGTGACAGGTAAGCTTCTAACATGGATGAAAAATTTCCTGACTGATAGGAAAATGAGGGCAGTAATCAGAGGCAATGTATCGGACTAGAGAAATGTCACAAGTGGGGTACCACAGGATTCAGTTCTTGCACCAGTGATTTTTATTGTCTACATAAATGATCTACCAGTTAGTATACAAAATTATATGAACATGTTTGCTGATGATGCTAAGATAATAGGAAGGATAAGAAACTTAGATGATTGTCATACCCTTCAAGATGACCTGGACAAAATAAGTATATGGAGCACCACTTGGCAAACGGAATTTAATGTTAATAAATGCCATGTTATGGAATGTGGAATAGGAGACCATAGACCTCACACAACCTATATATTATGTGAGAAATCTTTAAAGCATTCTGATAAAGAAAGAGATCTAGGGGTGGTTCTAGATAGAAAACTATCACCTGAGTACCACATAAAGAACGTTGTGCGAGGAGCCTATGCCATGCTTTCTAACTTCAGAATTGCTTTTAAATACATGGATGGCAATATACTAAAGAAATTGTTCACGACTTTTGTTAGGCCAAAGCTAGAATATGCAGCGGTTGTGTGGTGCCCATATCTTAAGAAGCACATCAACAAACTGGAAAAGGTGCAAAGACATGCTACTAAGTGGCTCCCAGAACTTAAGGGCAAGAGCTATGAGGAGAGGTTAGAGGAATTAAATATGCAAAAACTAGAAGACAGAAGAAAAAGAGGTGATATGATCACTACGTACAAAATATTAACAGGAATTGATAAAATCGATAGTGAAGATTTCCTGAGACCTGGAACTTCAAGAACAAGAGGTCATAGATTTAAACTAATTAAACAAAGATGCCGAAAATATATAAGAAAATTCACTTTCGCAAACAGAGTGGTAGACGTTTGGAACAAGTTAAGTGAGAAGGTTAGTTAAGTCAGTAGTTTCAAAGCGTTATATGACAAAGAGTGCTGGGTAGACGGGAGACCATGAGTGTAGCTCTCATCTTGTAACTACACTTAGGTAATTACACTCTCAGACAAGCAAGTGAATTAAGTGCATCTTAGGACTGAAGTAAGCAACTGGGAGATACTTAATTTGGAATGAGATCTTATTCTTAGTTTGCAAATAGCATCATGTGGGAGCCTGAGTGACGAATACAGGTACAGTACTCTGTTTGTAGATAGATTAAGGAGGAATTTGAAAAAAGTGGGGGATAAATTAAAGTTTTAGTGGCATTTTCAGAGCAATATTAAATTTAGTAATATCCACATTAGAACTGTCAAAACAATGCTCACTGGAACTTGAACAACCAAAAGGGCCAATTCACAACACTTTACTCCCAGTCAGATCTGTATTGCTCTAAGGCATACATGTGAAACACATATACATAGATATGTAATACACATAAATCACACTCTTGTGTATCTGATATCTGGGTTCCAACTTCACTAGGTTTGTAGTGCAAGCACTTGTGTCCTGCTCTCTCCAAGGACTTAGTATGGGCGTCTGTTGCACAGTAGCTAAGCTTTCTTTGGTTAATCTGTTTCTGTATGAATATTCAAATTAATGAATATGAAAATTTTGAAATATAAATTATATATATATTAAGACTGCCTTAAAACAATTATTTAGCAATCATTTATTGCTAAATAATCATTTAACAACAAAACACAGAAAATACCTAATGTAATTTATCTTTAAAAAACATTTCCTTATTCCCATTTCCCTGGAATTGAATATTTTCTTACAAAAAGTGTAAGTAATTTCTTCCCTGGATTACCCCCTCTCCACCCCCAAACAAAAAAAATAGCACTTTTGATTAATGTAATTGGTAAGAGAATACACCTGCATAATCAAGCTGTATGTAGTGTTGGAACACCATGTATGTTCATGCATAAAAAAGGAAATGTTCAACCCATATAAAATAGCTCTCTCTATAGATAATTACAGCTGAAACCTCTAACCACATTCAGACACACTGGGAGCCACCAACCTCAACCAGACACACCTGGAGCCACCAACCTCAACCAGACACACCTAGAGCCACTGACCTTAACCAGACCCACCTGGAGCCACCAACCTCAACCAGACACACCTGGAGCCACCAACCTCAACCAGACACACCTGGAGCCACCGACCTCAACCAGACCCACCGACCTCAACCAGACCCCACCTGGAGCCACCGACCTCAACCAGACACACCTGGAGCGACCGACCTCAACCAGACACACCTAGAGCCACTGACCTTAACCAGACCCACCTGGAGCCACCGACCTCAACCAGACACACCTGGAGCCACCAACCTCAACCAGACACACCTGGAGCCACCGACCTCAACCAGACATGCCTGGAGCCACCGACCTCAAACTTGACTTGTGAGAGTTTGGTCCACTAGGCTGTTGCTTGGAGTGGCCCGCAGGCCCACATACCCACCACAGCCCGGTTGGTCCGGCACTCCTTGGAGGAATAAATCTAGTTTCCTCTTGAAGATGTCCACGGTTGTTCCGGCAATATTTCTTATGCTTGCTGAAAGGATGTTGAACAACCGCGGACCTCTGATGTTTATACTGTACAGTGTTCTCTGATTGTGCCTATGGCACCTCTGCTCTTCAATGGTTCTATTCTGCATTTTCTTCCATATCGTTCACTCCAGTACGTTGTTATTTTACTGTGTAGATTTGGTACTTGGCCCTCCAGTATCTTCCAGGTGTATATTATTTGATATCTCTCTCGTCTTCTTTCTAGTGAGTACATTTGGAGAGCTTTGAGACGATCCCAATAATTTAGGTGCTTTATTGCGTCTATGCGTGCCGTATATGTTCTCTGTATTCCCTCTATTTCAGCAATCTCTCCTGCTCTGAAGGGGAAAGTGAGTACTGAGCAGTACTCAAGATGGGACAATACAAGTGACTTGAAGAGTACAACCATTGTGATGGGATCCCTGGATTTGAAAGTTCTCGTAATCCATCCTATCATTTTTCTGGCTGTCGCAATATTTGCTTGGTTATGCTCCTTAAACGTTAGGTCGTCAGACATTATTATTCCCAAATCCTTTACATGCTGTTTTCCTACTATGGGTACATTTGATTGTGTTTTGTACTCTGTATTATGTTTAAGGTCCTCATTTTTACCGTACCTGAGTACCTGGAATTTATCACTGTTAAACATCGTGTTATTTTCTGATGCCCAGTCGAAAACTTTATTAATAACAGCTTGAAGTTTTTCAGTGTCTTCAGCCGAGATAATTTTCATACTGATTTTTGTGTCATCTGCAAAGGATGATACGAAGCTGTGACTTGTATTTTTGTCTATATCTGATATGAGAATAAGGAAAAGCAGCGGTGCAAGGACTGTACCCTGAGGTACAGAGCTTTTAACTGCACTTGGACTAGATTTTATATGGTTGACCGTTACTCGCTCAGTCCTGTTTGACAGAAAACTGAGTATCCAGCGTCCTACTTTACCGGTTATTCCCATTGACTTCATTTTGTGTGCTATCACGCCATGGTCACATTTATCGAAAGGCTTTGCGAAGTCCGTGTATATCACGCCAGCATTCTGTTTTTCTTCTAATGCCTCAGTGACTTTGTCGTAGTGCTCAAGTAGCTGTGAGAGGTACGATCACTTGGAGCCACCGACCTCAACCAGACACACCTGGAGCCATCGACCTTAACCAGACACACCTGGAGCCATCGACCTCAACCAGACACACCTGGAGCCATCGACCTCAACCAGACCCACCTGGAGCCACCGACCTTAACCAGACACACTTGGAGCCACCGACCTTAACCAGACACACTTGGAGCCACTGACCTCAACCAGACACACCTGGAGCCACCGACCTTAACCAGACACACCTGGAGCCACCGACCTCAACCAGACACACCTGGAGCCACCGACCTCAACCAGACACACCTGGAGCCACCGACCTTAACCAGACACACCTGGAGCCACCGACCTTAACCAGACACACTTGGAGCCACCGACCTCAACCAGACCCACCTGGAGCCACTGACCTCAACCAGACCCAGAATGGGGGCCTCGTAGCCTGGTGGACAGCGCGCAGGACTCGTAATTCTGTGGCGCGGGTTCGATTCCCGCACGAGGCAGAAACACATGGGCAAAAGTTTCTTTCACCCTAAGTGCCCCTGTTACCTAGCAGTAAAATAGGTACCTGGGTGTTAGTCAGCTGTCACGGGCTGCTATCTGGGGGTGGAGGCCTGGTCAAGGACCGGGCCACGGGGACACTAAAGCCCCGAAATCATCTCAAGATAACCTCAAGATAACCAGACACACCTGGAGCCACCGACCTCAACCAGACACACCTGGAGCCACCGACCTCAACCAGACACACCTGGAGCCACCGACCTTAACCAGACACACCTGGAGCCACCGACCTTAACCAGACACACTTGGAGCCACCGACCTCAACCAGACCCACCTGGAGCCACTGACCTCAACCAGACACACCTGGAGCCACTGACCTCAACCAGACACACCTGGAGCCACCGACCTCAACCAGACACACCTGGAGCCACCGACCTCAACCAGACACACCTGGAGCCACTGACCTCAGACACACCTGGAGCCACCGACTTCAACCAGACACACCTGGAGCCAACGACCTCAACCAGACACACTTGGAGCCACCAACCTCAACCAGACACACCTGGAGCCACCGACCTCAACCAGACACACTTGCAGCCATCAACCTCAACCAGACACACCTGGAGCCATCGACCTCAACCAGACCCACCTGGAGCCACCGACCTCAACCAGACACACCTGGAGCCACCGACCTCAACCAGACACACCTGGAGCCACTGACCTCAACCAGACTCACCTGGAGCCACTGACCTCAACCAGACACACCTGGAGCCACCGACCTCAACCAGACACGCCTGGAGCCACTGACCTCAACCAGACACGCCTGGAGCCACCGACCACAACCAGACACACATGGAGCCACCGACCTCAACCAGACAACCCGAGCGAGGGAGCCAGTCGGCCAAGCGGACAGCACGCTGGACTTGTGATCCTGTGGTCCTGGGTTTGATCCCAGGCGCCGGCGAGAAACACTGGGCAGAGTTTCTTTCACCCTATGCCCCTGTTACCTAGCAGTAAAATAGGTACCTGGGTGTTAGTCAGCTGTCACGGGCTGCTTCCTGGGGGTGGAGGCCTGGTCGAGGACCGGGCCACGGGGACACTAAAAATTCCCGAAATCATCTCAAGATAACCTCAAGATATGACACACCTGGAGCCACCGACCACAACCAGACACACCTGGAGCCACCAAATACCCTTCATAAACATAAATTAATTCTTCTACTGCAGCTTTTAACACTGACACAAACTTCAGGTTCTTCCTGTTCAAAGAAACATTTTAAGAATTGTGTCCTTGGAAAGATATGGAAAAAAGCGATGAATGCAGAGATACACTTTTGAAATACTCTTCAGAACTCCAGGATGCCAAAGTGCTCTAAAAACAACTCAGGATATCAAAACACCACTTGAAACCATAAAATAACCCTCGAACATATTCCTGACTGCCAAAATTTCCTCCAAAGAACCCCTGACCTCTGGAATGCCCATTACAGAAGCCATCAATTCTGAAATATTCTTCAAGGAACTCATAATCTCTAAAACATCCACCAAATAAAATCCTAATGACAAAAACTTATCCTACCAAAATATCTGACCGTTAAAACATCTTTCATAAAGACTGACACTGCTGAAATTTTCTTAAGTACAGCCTCCAAATAGCCTCTAAGCTCTCCACCTTTCCTGTCTCATACTGAAGGTTTTCCATTCTCTTCTTCACCAGGGAATGGGTTCATGTCTATATCACCGGAGACGTCGACGAAGAAACCTACCAGACTCCAAGCACTGCCAAACATTGACCGAAGAACGAAAAAAAAGAGTAAAGACGTCCTCCACACGCTTGATTTGATATAGGGAGGGTGAGTAGGAAGTAAAGAGTATATAGTGAGAGTATGAAGTATATAGTGGTAGTACAAGTTACATAGTGAGGGGGGACAAGGTACATAGTGGTGCATGCCGAGAAAGAGTTAGACAAAGAATAGTTGGACATAGAAAATATGAAAGCACAAAATTGGGATATGGCTGGAAAAGAATGAATATAGCCATTTATAGTTAACCAAAATAGAAGTAAGATTAAGTAATGGTAATGTCTTCTTACAGACATAATAACAAGGATAAAAACCAACACTTATATATTTTTAAAATTTATGTAAAGATTTTCACCAAGTCTTTTGCACTCTCCTGAGTGCTTTGGCCAGGTCTGAGTATGTGGGAAGGATGAGACAAAAACCAGCGATTGAATGTAATGAAACGCCATTTTCTGGGTGAGCCCCGGAGGCTCCCTGGAGCTTATCAGGCTAATGTATGTTATATTAGACCGGGACATTAGCTATGGAGTTCAGACCTACCAGGGACCATGAGCCAGAACCTGGCCCCTTCAGAGAGGTTTCAGGGAGCAATGGCCCTGGAAAACCCCCCTGTGGTTGGGGGTTTTCCTTATCTGCCATCGACCGGGGTTAGGCACCCAGAAAGGTAGGCATAACAAAACAAACCCCACATGGTAAGAAACTAACAACAAAAACCGAACAGAGAGGTAGAACTCCCTACAATCCCAAGGAAACAAGCAAACAAGCAAACGTAACACACTACTGCCACGCCGCTCGTCCGTGCAGCCCCCCCCTTCCCGAGAGGGGGGGGAGGCCCGGACCTCACCGCGCCAGCTGCATAGCACTCCAGTTCGGAAGCTAAGCTTCAACAAACGCGAAAAAACTGCCGACCGGTGGGAGGGAGGGTTGCCAGGGAGCCTCCGGGGCTCACCCAGAAAATGGCGTTTCATTACATTCAACGCTGGTTTTCTGAGGGGAGCCCCTACGGCTCCCTGGAGCTTCATACCCAAAGAGAAGGAAAAGAAAGGGCTGACCCGGGAGGCGGCCGCCACAAACTCCGCAACTCGAAGTCGAGACAACAGGCTGCAACCTGCGACCCAAAGCAACACAAGAACGCCCAGGAGCAGACATGCTCACAAAATAACGGGCAGCCAGGAACCTGTGCGACCTCCAAATCCCTGCGCCCGAAATGAGCCCAAGACATGTTACCAAACACGGCAGCGAAAGCTGCAAATGTCCGAACGGCACGGGCGCAAGGATAGACCGCAGGCTGGCTAGACTTAATAACCCTGCGGACGACCTGGGAGACCCGAGCCCTGGAACAGGGAACGAGGGAAACCGGATCAACCCAAAGCACATCCCCAGCCACGGCACGCAGGTAACGGCGAAGAGCCGCAACCGGACACAACACATGACGCACCCCTAGCCGAACCAACCAAGCATCAATAACCCAAGGACCCCTCCGGAAAGCAGCCGTCTCGGCCTTCGCCAGAAAAGACGGAGAAGGCTGCAAACGTACAAACCTACCACCAGTACCAAAAGAGCAGAAACCCCTGCGCCGGAGGAGAGCCGGAAGCTCCCTGACCCGACCCCCAGAGGCCAATGCCAACAAAAATAGGACCTTTGAAAAACAATCTTGAACCGAAGGGGCTACCACAAACCGAGGAGAGGAAAGATAAGAGAGCACCCTGACCAAGGACCAGGATGGCTCAGGCGGCACATGAGCAGGCCGGAGGTGAAACAAAGCACGAGAAAGCGTACGGAACGGGGCGGATGTGACGTCCACCCCGAACGCAAGCTGGAGCGGCTCCGCCAGCTCCGCACGATACGAGGCGACAGTAAGAAGCATCAAATAATGGTCCTGAAAAACCAAGAAAGGACAAGACAACCCGATGCAAAAGAGAAGACAACCTACGAAGAGCAAGAAAATGGCGAAAAGAAACGCCAGGAAACTTCATACTGTCGCCGAGACGAAGCTCGCAGGTGGGACACCATCAACGAAGCCACCTGATCACCATAGAGATGGTGATACACCCGCATCAAAAGACCAGACGCGAAGAGCCGAGGAGAAGGCCGAACCAGCCACGTACCAGACCGGTCCGACCTGCCGAAAGAGGCGGAGCTGCGGGAAACGCCCTGGGTTCAGACACCGATCAAGCAGTGTCTGAAAAAAAACTGGGCCGGCCACCAAGGAGCCATGAGGACTACTCTCCTTGGGAAGGAGAGTAGTCCAACCGAGCCAGAACCCGAAGCACCAGCTGGACTGGGGGAAGAGGTACAGGTAACTCAACCTCGACCAGTCCTGCTGAAAGGCATCCACTGCGAACACCTTGCAGGCGGGGAATGATGCCACAGGGAATGGGAGACGCTGAGACCACAGCGACGCGAAGATGTCCATGTCCGGGAGTCCGTACGTCCGGCAGAGCCAACGAAACGAGTCGGCGACGACCGGCCAATCCGTGAACAGAGGAATGAACCGAGACAGGCCGTCCGCCAGGACGTAGGACACTCCCCGGACATGAACCGCACGGAGAGCCAAACCCCGAGAATCCAGCAGACGAGCCACTCGAAGGGACCAACCCCAAAGAGGCAAGGACCGAAGAGAACCCCCGTGGTTCCGGCAATGAACCACAGGAGAACAGTCCGAATGGAGCCGGATGGTAGAGCCCCGAGTGACCCGAACCCTCCGAAGTGCAAACCAGACAGCCACGAACTCCCGAACTGTGCTGTGAGCCCGACAGAAGGACAGATCCCAGCGTCCCCGGCCAGTCTGGTGAGCACTGGTCACAAAGCCCAAGCCGAGAGACGACCCCATCTGTGAACACATCAAGCGAAGGCTCGGGGAGGCGCCAAGGAACGGAATCCCGAAAGCCCCAAAGAGGAAGCCGGCGAAGCAGCACCAACACAAGGTACCCGGAGGACGAACCCAACGATTGCGAGAGAGGCGGAAGGGGAGTCCCCAAAGGAACCAAAACAGATGCCGAAGTCAAACCCGACCCGGCGGGCAGATCAGTATGGCGAAGTTCAGACTCCTGCACAACCGCTCGAGCAACGCCGAGTGACCCGGGACCCCCTCAGAAACAGCCGAAGGCGGGACCGCAGCCGCAGCAACGCCTCTGGAGGGAGAGACAAAGAAGTGGTCCAAGAGTCCTAAACAAGACCCAGCCAGGTCCGAACCCGGGACGGAACCAGATGGAATGTCCTCCAGTTCACCAGGAACCCGAACCCGGCGATCTGGAAAGAACCACACCCCTGGTGAGCAGACAAGCGGACCGACTGGGAGCCCACACCAGCCAGTCGTCGAGGTAGGCCAGAAACCGAATCCCGAGCAGACAGACAGGTCACCAAGATCCGGTAAAGATGTGTAAATACACTAAGTGCCAATTACAAACTAGGGAAGGCAACAAAAATGGCAAGCCTGAAGCCCCACCACCAACTGTGCCAGTCCCGGAACCCTGGAGAGGAACGTGCCAAGAAGTGACCCGGAGGTCCAGGGACACCATCCAGGCACCCGGCCCCAACAGAAGCTGGACCGGAGACAACAGTCTTCCAAAGAGGGCAAAGAATCCAGGGCGCAGACTGAGCAAGTCCAGAAGAGCCGCAGATCTGCAAAGTCCCGTGTTTGCATTAGAACCGGGAACTTCCGGGAACCCCGGAAGGATGGGGCGAATCGACCACGTCCAAACGCACCCACAGCAAGATGACATGATGAAGTGCAGGGGAAGAAACACACCCTGCCAGCCCCAACCCCTCAAAGGGGGGGAAGCCGCCCAACGCCACCAGAGGCCGGAGGACAACCAAAAAATGCCTACAAACTGCGGAACCAAGCAAGAGCCAACAGAGCAAGCTGCCCCCCCATCCCAGTGCCCCGTCAACAGCGAAGGGAATGAAGCCCCTTCCGAAAGAAAATGTATATATATATAAATATATATATATATATATATATATATATATATATATATATATATATATATATATATATATATATATATATGAAAATAACACACATGAAAATAAAAATAAAAATAAAATTAAAGAAAGAAAAGAAAAAGACAAACCGCCGACCAGTGGTCAGAGAGCACCGCGCCGGCTAGACGAAGAAGGCATCAAGAGAGCACAAAAACTGTACCAAAAGGCTCACCCTGACAACAAAAACCCAAGGCCCTGGCATGACCACAACATGTGCCAAGACCCAAAAAGATCAGCCTGCAAGCCAGGAAGACCCCGGACCCCAAAAGGCTGAACCGAGTCACACACGAGGTAACAAAACCCCCTGAACCCACAAAGGGGGCCTGAGAGGAAGAAACCTCCGGAACGAAACCAAAGAACCCAAAGGAACCTGGAATCGAACCCGAGGAGCCCAAACTACCACATTTGCTGGCGGTAATACACCACAGAAAGGGCAAAGCACAGTACCCAGACAGAACCCCCAGGGAAACGGCCAAAACGAACCAAAAACGAGGGACAAGGTGTGAGAGCAAGCATAAACAGATAAGGACACGTAGCCCAAACCCAGGGCCCAGACCCAAACAGACAGAAAATGCAAAAACCGGTGTAAAAACCACACCCAAGCGTTCCCAGAGGAACAGAAGATGGGCAGAACACCCCAGAAAAGCAAAGATACAGCAACAGGAGGATAAAACCCCTGAAGGAGGTGAAAAACTCCCCCAAAAGTGCGAGATCGCACACCCAGGCACTGGTAAACAAACTGCAGCGCTGCCGGTGGCCAAGTGGGGAAGTAATCTGTAGAAAGAAAATGGCCACCAAACCAAGGAGTCGTGACCGACGCAATAGATCCGAAAACACGCTGGCAAATGTGGGAAGTAAGCAGACTAGAGGGATGAAAAACCCCGCCCAGAAGCAGAAGATTCATTCAGGGGCAAACAGCCCCAGAACTGTTCGCGGGCATCCCCCACAGCCCCGGGAACCCGCAACAGAGGCCCCGGGGCAGAGCTGTCTTCCATGCCCTCTGCCCTTGAAGAAAAGGAAGAGTACAGGGAAAAGGCAGCAAAGAAAGGGCCACTGGTAAGACC